ATGTTCAATAAATGATTCTTATGCCTCTTGGTTTAAGAATTCCATGCTAAGTTATATTTCCCTGTTTTTCCACAAGCCAAATATTTTAATTTCTTGCACTACACCTCATTTACTAATAACAATGATGTATTTTCCCTTTCCTTTTGTATTTATTTTTACTGAGAGATGCAGCCGTTCATCACATTCAAATGAAGAATTATTACTTAGCTATTATTATTATTGCTAGTGATGGTATGTAAACAACTATAATGATGTGTGGGCTTGTGTAGGAGCAAAGACTAAAATAAAGATGATGCCTTAGAGGGAATGAATGAGGAAAACGTGCAAAGACTTAACCAGGACACCCTCTCCTTGTTGGTTTTGTTCCCTTTAACTACTCCCCTCAGCTCAGTTGCCCATTTCTTTTGGTCTCTATCTACAATGAAGGTAGGTGGCTTTAGGAGGATCAGCTGTGAAGACAATAAAACTTCCATATCACAGTAATAGCCCGGCTTCCCTCTCTGTCAACTTGGAGCAGGACCAAAAGAGATATGGAAGTTTATGGAAGGGAATAGCACTGGGAACAAACCAAGGGAGGAAAATCCACCCAGGCCCTCAAAGCAGTTCTTACAAAGTGCCAGCTGGAGTGGAGAGTTTAAACCTTATGAATTCAGCAGCATATTCTGAGATAAATATTTTATCCTTCCTCCTGCAAAAGGCGGGAAAAGAATAAAAGAAAGATGACGGAATGAAAAAATCATCTGAGGGAAGAATACAGCAGATATCACTAACCAAACACCTTCCAGATTTACTGAATACCAGAGCCCYAAAAGCTTTTGTAGGCATCACTACGACTTTTTATTCTTTACTTCTTTTCAGAAGAGCTTCTCTAGATGAAAACACCATTCTGATCATCTGTCAGTTCTGTTCCCACTTGTTGCTAACCACCTAGTTATCTAAAGTATATTAAAATAAGGTATGCCTTGTGCAATTCCACCGCGCCACAGAGGCACAGCTCAAGTGCAATGTTTTAATAACACTAATGGCGCTGCTTTTGAACGTCTTCCCTTTAGAGCAAGCATTTATCCAGTGCAGTCGGGGTAAAGGCAGTAGAAACGTTGTGGAACCCTTTTGGCTTTCAGGGACTTTCAGAGAACTGGGAATGAGGGCAGTGATCCCCAGTGGTCCGTGCCAATGAAGCCCAGTGTAGTCCCTGGAAATAGCATTGCTGCCTTGCTTTGCGTTGGTATTTCTGACGTGCTGTCCATGTGAAGTACTTCTCCATGTGAGGAGATAAGGTATTTCTGATTAAATTCTCCCCACAGCCTGGACAATGGGTCTCCTGGCATCCATAGGAAACTACTGGTGCCATCAAGACCCTAATGAGACGTGCAAGACCCGAGGAGGAGTCTGGGGGCACAGACTGCTGCTTCTGTGGTCTTCATAACCCCAGAGTTTGTCTTGGTTTGGGGGTGGGAGGGTTGGGTGGCCACGTCCCTATCCATCACCCACGTCCTTCCATTGCAATTTGCCCACTTGTGCAGGGTGAGTTGAGTTCATGTTTTCTCCTCTCCCTCCCTCCCTCCTAGAGCACCTTTTGCAGCTTGTTTGTTTTCTTGTTCCCTTCCCCAAGATCTTTGAACAAAATCGCAGTCTGTCAAAAACAAAGCGCCGGCATTTCTGAGACCTCCCTGCTTTCCCAGGTAATTTATGAAAATGGAAGAGCCTGTTTCGGGCACAATCCAATTTGTTCTCTGTGAGCATCATAAGCACATTTGGAGCCAGATAAGACAATTATCACACAGATCTTTAATACCTGTAAGTTATAGCTAAAAGGTTTGTTCGGATAAGTTTGTTTTCAAGGGCCATGTGCTGAAGTACAGAGAGGGGGTTCTGCAGCACTGAGGCAGCAGAAAAGTTTCCTCAGCCTCTTGCTTGGTGCATCCATGGTGCTCATTTGTCAGAGCACACATGTATGTGTGTGGTGCACTTAGGCAGAGCGTCCCTCCTCCCAGGTGCTCCAGTGTGGCTCTAAATCCCCTAGGAAGAATCACAGGGATCTGCGACGTCCCCTGTTCCACAGGGAGGCAGCCGTGGAGGCTCCTCCATAATGAGCTGCTTCCTCCTGATGTCCTCACTGCTCTCACGTGCAGTGACAGGCATCAGAAGTCACTGCTCCGGTCTGCTCTCCTTCCACGAGCGAGGGGGACTTGCTGCCAAAATGTGTTTTCCTAATCACTTAATTTTCAGTTACCAGATTTAACTCGCCTGTGTAACCTTCGGCCGACCTTCAAGGCTGAGCACCAAAGTCAATGCTCTCAAGAGAGCTCGGGGAAGTTCCCAGCGAGCCCGTGAACACTGACTGCTCAGCACGGTGTATGAGGTCCCCTAGCACAATATCCATTCCTCATTAGAAAAAAGAATCAGATTTGTAATTGAATTACCAGCTTTTTTTAGTCATTGTTTATGGCTCAGAGTGCAGAGCTGAAATATTCTAATTATTTCGTGATAAGAAATGAAGATAAAATTTACGATTTCATCATGGGGAATGGTCTATAACAGTGTCTACTTGCAGAAGATAAAGTCTGATCTGATAATGAATTAACTTGCTTCACTTATGTGAATGGAGCCAGCAGACAGCACAAAAGGTAATCAGCAGTGTCTTGATCGAGCTTAAATTAGGTATTGTTTTTTAGTTCAATTTAATGTGCAATCTTTGAACACTGCTAGTGTTAGTATTTAGTCAGCAGTGAAAGATCTAGTGTTTAAATCTAGTATTTCTTACCATGTAGTTTTGCAAATAAAAGAATGATATGTTTTTGTAAAGCAAAAAATTAGAGTATTTCAAAATGTTTATAATTATAATAATTAGTTAGCACAGCAGTTCAAGAGCCACAATCCTTCCGATAACTATGCATCTAGGGCATTACCCTACTTTCTTATCAACCCAAACATAAGAATATTTTATAATAGTTAAGACCCTTTGATGTTTATGTGCTTCTTTGGTGAATTTTACTAGAAAGATCTTATATCTATTGCTATTTTAGCTATCTCTTGATATATCCAAGGCAGCAAAACACAGCAGCAGAGAAGGTCTGTTGTGCATTTCTATGGGGACTTCATTAGTGGGAGCTTTCCTGACGTGATATACTGGGTGCTTTTGATGCATCATTCATATATGCAACATGCAACACATCATGAGGGGAGGGGACAGAGGATGGTTTCTGTAGCAATTTATAATAGTAACCCAAATAATGGCCTAAAATCAAGAGGTATTATTTGCACATATGTAACACTGAGGCCTTGCAAGCAATAAAACCCTCACTATCAGCTCAAACCCACACGACCAACTAGGTTTTCCACCATAGATAATCTGACCGGTGAATTACTGAGAGTATTTCAGACTCGATGTTCAGATTTTGACCCAAATCCTATGGACAGGGTTGGAAGGAGAGGGAAAAAGGCACAGAAAGATGAATTGCAGTAACACGCAAGGAGATGAGAACAGGGAGGGAAGAAATGGCCACATTTGGGTTAACTGAGGAGCAGGAATGTGTGTTTGGGCAGACTGTGGTTCTCCAGGTGCCTTTACCTTCTCAGAGGAGGTCAGAGCTGAGCAGATAAAGCCCTTGCACTGGTCTGCTCACTCTGGGGGGAATTCCCCCCTTTTAGCAAGAGATGAACATCTCAATGAGTGATGATGAAATGGAAATTTTACCTTTTCTGGAGGAGAATATTTGGCCCTGAGACAGGCAGGGATTATCCGTCCTCTAGGTTTATTTATACCTTGAGGAGCTGACAGCTCTTCTAAAAGTAGACTGAAGCTTTTTAGACAGTCAGAGGTTTAAAATTAGACACTGGAACTAATAGGCTGTTATTGTCTCATAATTATATTTGACATAATGCTCTTAACTCCCTTCTGAAAAATCACCCTGCGCTGAAGGGAGCCGGGATGCGCGTGTGGCATCGATCACACTGCGACCCATGGCTCTTGCCATGGATGCTCCTTCCAGCTCCCTATGGACAGTATATGGAGGAGCCAATTTGTGCCATCAGCTGTAGAATTAAATTCAAGGGTGCTGTTCAGATCTGCTGTCCTTGGATGTACACTGAGACACTCAGAGACCTGCTTAGGAGGCGTAATCCTTATCCTGCTCCTTCCTCGCAGCAGGAGGGGAGGCCGAAGCCACTGCCTGTTCCCAGGGCTGATGGAAACGTCTCCAAGGTCCTGTCTGACGGAGCTGCAGGGAGAGCAGCAGCTTTGCTCCCTTTCCCCACAAGCTGGGGTGCAGATTGCCCTGGCTATGGGATGCTGCACACATCTTTCCTCGTGGCTTTTGAGCCAGCACCTTTTTCTCACAGGAGTCAAGCTAGCATCAGCCTCTTGTCACATTATGCAAGAGTGACAGTTGGCAACTGAAGTCCCTTTAGTCCCCTATTAAACACTCGGAGGTTTACGGGTTTAATTTTTTGCCTAGACTCCTTGAGCACTGACCTTCAAGCTATTGCCTTGACAACTTGTGCTTTTTAATAAAGCACAGCCTGGTGGAAGGCGGCTGATTTACAGGGGATTTCATTCAGTGAGCCCTGTCCTCAGCGCGCCAGCTTTGCTCCCAGAGCATCCCGGCTGATCGAGCAACCAAGTGCAGCACCTTCACATCTCACTGTGCAAATGCAGCACCTGTGCTCAGTGCGCTGARGGTTCCCCTTTACACTTTTCTTTCTTTTCTTTTTTATTGTATTAGGCCAGCACACAAACCTTCAGAGTCCTAGCTGAGGATGCAGCCCCTTTAAATAACCCTTTTATTTCCTAAGCCCCTTTTCTGCCTTGTTTTGCTCTGCGCTTTCAGCTGCTTCTCGCTAATTGAGAGGCCAGTTGGAACTGATCTGTGGGTTGATGAGAGCCAAAATGCTAATTTGGTGCAGGTGTATAAAGCCCAATAAAGGAAGAAAGGAAAGGCCTGGCTTCCAAAAAACTTTCTTAGTAGGTTTTACCCTCATCTATGGTTCTATCTAGGCAAAATACCTCTGTTTTGAGGGAGCTGAGTAGTTTCTGTTCCTCTGGGCCTTGTAGACCTTTATGTGCTTACCTGTCTCCCAGACAAAAAGTAGAGGATTTTTGTCTCAGCCCTTTGTGAAATGAGGTGCCCATGGTATGTTTTGATGCAGAAGTTGCTATGTTGATTCTCCAGGAGTGTTTCTGGGTAAGAGGTAAGGATGAGATCTTTGCATGTCTGGTGGTGATCAATATGAGTYAATTAATGCTTCAGTAGTCATGAGTGGGTGTAGGGGAGAGCTAGGTATGCTTAAGGTGATTCATGCAGCTTTGCTGGATTTAAGTTTAATGAGAAGCTTATTTTGCTGCCATTATGGATAATGTCCATCCATATTCTTGATATCACTCAAGGGAGGCTTCTCTTTATGGCCATCTAACTCCTAGGAAGAAATATGAACTTTTTGGTACCTCTCTTGCCTAAGAACACACAATTAAGAGAATGGTCCATTTACTTCTCTATGATGCCTAGACACTCCTGCTCTGCAGCTCCCTCGGGCTGGCCCTGTCTGTGGGGTAAGTCCCTSTGCCAGCTCAGCTCTGCTCTGTCTGCTGCATCTGTCCTGCTTTCCTTACAACTGCTCTTTTGACCTCTTCTTCTTCAGTCTCACTCTCTGGAGCCGTTAGACCCATCCGTGGAGTGGACCTCAATCTGATTTCTGCCTGTATCRGTTTCCCCTGCATCTGTGATGGAAAGTGCACCTGAGCCTGCCAAGGCAGGGGAGCAAGGAGGAACAGTCAGCACCAAACTCCTCRTGTGGTGTCACTGAGCTGCTGATCAGGCTACCAGCAGACTCAACACAGCACCTGCCTAAACTTAGTGCTAAGTGCCACACATTGGGAAGTGTTTCTCATGTGAAATGAAGCTTTTGAAAATAAAATTTTTTGGGGAAAAAAAAGCCCTCTAATTGCCTTTGTAATTTAAACTCTCACAAAATATTTGAATTGCATTAAGAAATGTCTTCAAAATTTATTTTGCCATTTGAAAAGCATTGGTGGCTGTGGGCCCTCCCCCTGACAGTGTGAATCCAGAGGTAAGACTGAGGCTTTCAAAGCACGTGAGATATACTGTGCATGTGAATGTCTGTGTATCACATAGTACGTTGGGGCCTTGACCTATTTAGATGCTAGGCATGAATATATAAATATTAAATAACTTCTAAACTGCTACATCAATTCAATGTCTTGACTAAAACCTTTGACTGAGGCTTCTTCAAACTAGCAAGAATTAGATTTTTCCCTTTGGGACAGTCTTATCTGAACGTATTGTCATGTTTGCCCTGTTAGAGCTCTTTGCTGAGCCAAGCTGGAATACGTGTAGAACAAACAGAAGTACAAAGACTTCTTAAGGCAACAAAGAGAAATCTGAGCGTGATGGCATCGCTGTTGTCGCTCGGTGCCTGGCACTCCGAGCTGCAGGCACCCTGGTGCTGCTCGGCAGGTTGATGCCACCAGGAGTGGGCACCAAGAAGAGAGTGTCTCTCCTCAACCAGAGGCACCTGCCTGTAGCTGCAGCCTCTGTCTGCCTGCCAGCCCTTTCCAAAGGGAAGCCCAGAAAGCAAGCAAAAGAAAAAGGTTAATCTAGAAGCAAGGGCTTGAAATAGAGTGAATGGAAAAGAGAGAAYTGCACAATCTGAATCATGGCTTGCTGGAAGGTTCAAGTGTTTGCTGTTGCTGCTCACTGCACTTCCCTTGACTCGCCCTCTGCYGACAGAGTTCCTGTTGGACACTTGCCTGTTTCCAGACTTGCCCACAGTTTGAAGACTCACCTGTTATATAAAGTTGGCTTTTCTCTCCTTCTGCTAATTTGGGATTAGTACAGAAAGCAGCTCAGAGACCCCCAGGGCCTGTGTGGATGCACCAGGTAGAGCAGTTTATTGGGACAGAGGAGAGGAGAGATCCAAGAAGTTTTTTTCCTGTTACCACCCATGGCATCACCCTTGCACTGCATGAGACAGTTGCCTGTCAAGACTGTAGGCATGGATTAAAGACTTGGGGTCTTTGTTGGGGTCTGAGTTCTGGGGAAGATGGAATTTTCAATACAAGTCTTGAGTGTTTCAATCCAAGATATGCACCAGGTCTCAGATCAAGCTGAGAACACACTCTGTAGTAAGAGACACTTCTATCTACAAGACCCCAAAATAAACTAGCTGCACAAGGTAGTGGGGCCATCTCCCTTGCACAGAAATTCAAATATACAAATCACTCACCCAAGATCACATAGGAAGTCAAATCCAGAGTCAAGGCTTCAGGGCAGTTCTCTAGGTTCTCTTAGCCTGTAAGCCTACCCTTTCTTTCCTCTGCACAGACTGAGAAAAATTATTATAGAAATCTCAAGTTCAAACTACTTGCTATTTGGAGAGCAGCCCATGTCCTGGCTGCTTTATCAGTTTGGGTGGAATGAATCCAAGACATCACTTACACTGACTTAATATTAAATGGCAGTAGCCACCAGGACAGATTTACTGTCTGATGATGTCTTCCTGACTGCGACGGTAACAATAAAGACAAATTTTTTGCTCATTAAAAGACTTCAGTGCTTAGTCCCTCTAGCAAAATGTTGRAGTTTTCTGTTCTACAGAACATCAAATTTTTGCAACAACAGTTTTATCAAGGAGAGATTGCTCCTGGTGTTACTCCGTTGTAAGAGGCAAGTTTAGCCTGGAAATATTGCTGCATTTAAGGCRTGAGGTGGCTTCTGTGCTGTAAGGGGGCAGTGAAGCATGGAGAGATTGGGGAAGCATAGGAAGGATAGAGGCTGCAAACTCTTTTTCTTGGAAAGAAACAGCTCCTTTGCCAYAAGAACCCTCTGGCCATCATGGCTAGAGGCAACGAGCAACTCTGGCATCGCTCAGCTGGCTGAAAACCAGCAGGACATGCAAAAGAGACAAGATCTTAATTATCAGTGTAGAATGAAGGAATATGTTCTGCCTTTTCTGCCTCCTCAGGGAATCCTTCTCTCCAGATTCTCAACTCCCCTTTAAAAAGCTGAGTGTTGTTTACTACTGGCGTACTGCTCTGCAACTCCGGTGTCTTGAGAGCCTCTGCCAAGTCCTTCCCGTAGAGCAGTGCTTAGACGTGCCCCAGAAGTGACCCAGCCAAGGCGACAGTGTCCTGCCTCACAGGGACTGCTCCTTCCCTGAAGAAGCTCATAAGTCTTGCCCAACTTACGGCTAAGAGGATATTCTGATATCTGCCATCTGAGAGCTACAGTTAGAGCTGGCCTAGTTTATTATGGGCTGACAGAGCCATAAAAGGTATTAATTAAGAATACAATGAGGCAAATATTCTTGTTTACTTAAGCTAGAGTGGTAAGTTCTACTTYAGTTTTCCAGTTTGGGGTTAAATGTGAAGTCCCAGTTTGGTAGTTCCAAGCCGGGGCTTGAAGGGCAGGTTCCCTCTGTTCCTCCTGAGGTTGGGGCCTGCTCTGGTCCTGGTCTTGGTAGGGCCAGACTTTCAGCCTGTGCTTGCTCCTTAGCTTCTCTTGCCTTTGTTTAGCCAAGTSAGATGTAGCTGATGGAAGTGATGAACCCCTTTTAACTGCTACTTGGATTTTGAGGTGCAATTTTCTTGTCCCCTATTGCAAAACCATGCAGACACTCCTCCGGCACGCTGCAATTGTTGAAAAGCCTGAAAATCCCTGTTGTTCCCTTTGCACCCCTGAAGTTACCAAAATGCAATGCAGAAATGGCAGCGAGGAAGCCGGTACGTGCAGCACTTGCTGTTTATTTGTGTTGGCTCTGTGTCTGCGCAGCCTGGTGTGAAGGATCTCATCGTGGCTGAGCCATATGCTGAAGGGAAGCAGAAGGAAATGTGAGATGAATGATTTTTCTGACACCTCCTGCACTCAGATGGGCTCTGTGAGTCTCGCTTTGCTCTTCAGTGCTGTCACGCTCTCATTAGGAGCAGTCAACAGATTGTTAATCCTCCGGGGAAGCATGATGGATGGTGCTCTGCATCACGGGGTGGCCTCTATCGGGTCTCCTGGTCCCCCCTTCACCTTCCTTAATTGTGTCTGTAAAAACAACAACAACAACAAATACACACACTCTATTGATGGGAATGGAAATGGTCAGAAATCAGCCAACACTCATGTTTCAGTATCAGGAGGTATTGCTATTGGTCAATGCCCACTGAGAGCAAAATTGGCCTGAAACTGAAAGCTATAGATACCTCCTAAGATCAAGACATATTGATRGTTTTTTTATAGGGATTGATAACACATGTTTCTCAAACATCAAAGGGGTAAAGAGAAGGAAATGGCAACAACTAATCTCTAGGTTGGTGCTGAAGATCTGCTTTTCCTTGCTAAATGTYATGACCCATGTCTGCTCCTTGAGGCGATGAGCTAAGCTAATGAGCTTGCAGTGCAGAAAATGCCCTTCCTCACTTGACCCTAGCGAGGCAGAGAAACGGGCCCTAGAGGAAACAGGGTAACTCAACACTTACCTGCCAAGTACCTCTGTTGATCCTTGAGTGTCTACTTGTTCTGTGCTGACCAAGCCCAGAATCACTTCAGGATGATGGCTAAGCAGGTGTTTAATTTTAAAGTAGTGAAAACAGGCAGATGAAGGGTAGGTGCTAACTTGGGTTGAGGCTCTTATTCTGCTGTGCAGAAGATGCAGGTGCTGAAACTGATGCTGAGCAGCAGCACTAGGTGCCATTCCCTGGGATGGCGCCGTCCCAAGCCCGTGTAGGGGAAAGCACAGTGTCTGTACAGTGTTGTGAAGATGCTAGGTAGGATTGCCTGAATTACTTGCTGCAATTATCTTCTCTGCAAATGTTTTCCTTTTCCTCTAGTCTTAATTTATTTGCAAATGAATCTGAATTTTGTTTGATGCATAATCTTATAATTGACCAGATGCTGTTTGGACACTGTTTCCAAAMAGTCCTGTGTGTCTCACTGGCGGCACAGTCTGACTTTTTTTTTCCCCCCCTGCTGTTCTTGATTATTATTTCTGATATAGGCTGACCAGATGTATTTTTTCTACTTCCTAATTATTCTTTTTTTCTGATTTTTTTTTCTTCCACAGAGGGAAGATGTGAACGAGCACACTCCTGTTTGATACTTATTTTGGTACAAGATCTGAGAATTATGCTGATCAGAAAAAAAAWCCATTCATCCCAGGAGCTGTGATGAATAAACCTCAAAGGGCCAAAAATTATGGACTGTTTCATCAGGCAGRGGAATTCATCTCTCAGGTATCCTCTCTTTGCTCTCTACTTCTGACTTTTTTCCCCTCCCTTCTCTCTTCCCCTTCCTCCGAATGTCATGATCAGACTCTGGAAAATGGAAGATCACAAGATTTCCATGTAATTTTGGGTTTCSGCTCAAGCTTGTTGGTTTTGTTGGCTGGGAATGTAAGATATCAGCCATAAAGCAAGGTCAATAAAGGTGACTCATTGCTTATATAATCTGCAATGTCCTTGTGGTAAAGTTTAACCTTCTTAATAAGCACCTGCAGCTTGATTTAACTAATGCTAACTGAAGCCGGCTGCTTTTCACCCAGTGTCCCTTCTGTAGGTATTCTGAAGCTTTGATGGGAATATTTCTATTAATCTACAGTGAGGTCAGGGTTTTGCTTGATGTTAATGATGTTAATATTGCAAGAAGTTGCTTGGAACTAGAGAACTTTTGCTGTGTCTATTCCTGCTTTCCTGTCCCGGCAGTATGAAATAATGATCCGTAGACTCCAGTGGAGCACTACTGATCTGCGCCTGCTGAGCATCTAACCTGAGGTGTTTCATTCATTACTTCATTTAAAAGGCAAAATAGATCATTCTGGTCTAGATTATTAAACTGTTTCCTTTCCGACTGAGTATCTGGGCAGCTCATAGTGTTTGGCATTTAAAAGAGTTTCTCCTTCCTGCACAGTGCTGAATGCTGGCATTATTTTGCAGCACGTGATGATTTTTTAAAAAATGCATTCAGCTTTTGCCTTCTATTGTCTTGGATCATTAGCCAGCATCCTGTTCTGGAGTGTGATCAGTGAAGCCTGGTGCGGCATCTCTCGATGTGATATCGCTTCTCAAACAGCCTGCGGTGGGAGAGAAATTAATTTCTCAAAGCTTCAGCATCATTACGGACCCAGTAAAATCAGATGGATTCCCTTGTTTTAAACACTCCAGCTGAACACGGAGAACATTGGAGAGTTATTCAATGCATCCTCTTCCAGGACAAGAGGACTGTTTACTTTTAGGGTATGATTACATTGGCAAGGGCGACTTTCCTGCACTATCCTGGATTTCCCTTCTGTTTGGAGCTGGAAGTTTGTGGGAATAGTCTGGATACAGAGCAGATGAGAGCAAGTGGAAGAGCAGGTTCTCCATCTACAGGGTCTCCAGCATCTTCCTGTAGAGCAATAAATTCTTTAAATATTCATATCTTCAAGAGTTTCACTGCTTCTCTGCATGGTGATACTGGGGGATCTCACCAGCCAGAGACTCATTAGATAGCTCAGTGATGTGCATCTATCCCATAGGGTCCCATAGCATCCCTTGTCACTGGATTCGCAGACCAGAGATGTGGGATGCAGCCCACGAGACAACACAGTCTGCAGGCATGTGCTGGCCAAGAAGGGCTAAGGAGTCTTTGCCCCAAAGTAGGTCGAAAATAGCTGTGTGTCCTTGTCTGGAGTGAATGACACACTGTCCTTTCCTGGCTAAGCCACTGAAAACAGAGAAGTGCTCTACTGCTCTGCTGTAATGTGTGGACCCCTTTTGTACATCTAAGTTTTAGAAACATGAATCACTCGCACAGATGCGTTCACGCAGATAGAGCGCTGTGCACCGCTTTGAAAAATTACCTCTAAAAATATGGTTCAAATGATGCAAATCCAAGAGATGCGATATGGTGTTGGGAAGTCATTAAAACCTCTTTTAATGACAAATTTCTTTACCAAATGTTCTGTCTTGGAAATGGGCACGCAGTCTGAGCCTGAAAAAAAATCTTGTTTCCTCATTAGCAATGGAATATCAAAAGTTCTTTTTGGGTACTTCTTTCTACCTTTTCGTCTCTAAAGTGTTAGCGAAGAGTTAAAATCATTGCTTGCCATGTCCAAAAGGTCTGAGAAGACTTCAGCTTTCTTGCTGAAACCATGACCCCTGAGCRTGTGAACAGCTACTGAATTGCTCTTCCGAGCAATGAGGGCACCTCCCCATCTGCTTTGTAATTAGAAGCATTGACTTTAAGAGAAGAAAAAAATGGAAAAAAAAACTTGTGCATCTTGCAGCAGTGGAGCTGGAAGTTTTATTTTTGGTGAGTAGGCGGGCTAAGCAGCCTCTGCTAGTCCAGCTAAGTGCCCCAATGTCACAGCAGTCTCAAAACCTGAGACAGCACAAGTGCACTGAGGCAGCTCTATAGAAGTTCTCCATAAGGTTCTTCACCTCTTAGGCAAGAGCAGGAACAAGCATCTGCCTCAGTAAAATGCCTAGTCGTGCCTTGCACGTGGGCCAAAGAGCAGCAGAGGTTCGTGCTGCTCCAGTGTCACTACCTTGTTCTCCTCCATGCCCAAGGGCTGAACTCTCCTCTCTGAACTGTCTGCAATGTTGCATCTGCAAGGGAACCTGTGGCTGCACCTTCTCCTGTGCTGGTTGTGGTCTGCCTGAGGTGGATTTCTATCTGGAGAGCAAAAGCCCTCCCTGTGGCTGCATGTGGCTGAGAACATCCCTCAAAGGCTCCAAGCAGCCCTGACCAGGAGAGGCTGTAGAGCGTGTGTGTGTCCCCTTGTCCCCCTGCCAGCTTCATGACTGTGTTAGTTTTGCAGTGTCCTTGAAACTTTCCCAAAAGGGAAACTATTTTTTCCACTTATTTATTCTCTGCGGCTTTTGGATTGCAGCATCTTTGTGCCTTTGCATCGGGCAGTCCCGCATGCCTCCCATCAGCTCTGAACGTAAGCGCCTTTTATGAGTTTTGCCTTTCTAATGCACATCTTAGGAATGCAAATTTTTGCAAATGGAAAATGTTCTCTAGTGTTGCAAACACAGCTATATTTTTGCACAAATCAGAGTCTGGCAATGTTGTACAGTGATGACATTCTAATTTTGAAAACTTGAAAAATCATTGAGATACTGTTTGTCATGTACATAGCTTATTTTTGTGGCTTATTTTCCTATCAGCTCCCTGCTACCAACTTTGGTTAAAGGTTGTAGATCAGAGGCATGTTTAAAATGTCTGACTCTTCCGTGCATCTTTCCAAGGGAAACAGGAGGCTTCTTTTTTTTCCCATTATGCAATGCAAGCTCGGCCTTCAATTGCCTTAGGATGAGCTTGCCTAGAAAGCAGCAAAATGTGAATTACAGATGCTAAACTCTTTCCCTTTCTTCCTCCATCTCTGCTAATATTGGGTGGACTTAAGAAATTTTAGTTATCAAGTGTCCAATCAATATGACATACTTTGCTACTTTACTCATGCTTTATTCAAAGCTGTGCTTGATGAAACACATAATTCAGTGCTATAAGGAGAGTGACATTGCTTGGGTCTTTTACTCATTTCTCAAAGCAAACAGAAACACACCTAAAACCAACTACTTTTTATTGTTACTATCTTTAAAGCCCCCTAAATTGTTCCTGGAGGTAAACTGCAGCATCACACTGAAAGACTTGGTAAGACTGGGGATTGGCTTATAAAACACTTTGGGAGAGTTGGTCCTCTATGTCCTTAAAGACCTGGGAACAGAATCTGTAAATCTGGGAAGAAATACGGCAACTTACACCTCTGTGAGACTACAGCAAGAGAAGGGCCGAGTTGTTGGCATTGTATGTTAGATACAGAAGAACCAGCTTCAGTTCTCTTGTGTAACTGCCATTTTCAAGCCTTGTAAATGCAATAAGGCTTCCTCTTTCTATTAATGGTGGGGAAAACCATGTATCTGTCCTTTATGCAATATTTTTGATGGTTAGGTAACTTTGGGCTGCCTTGTTCCAAGCATACGGTCAAAATGTTCTTATTTTCATATGTAAAAGTCAATGCATGCATTTTTTAAGAACTGTTACCCCATTACTACCCATTACAGGAGCCATCTAGGCTGTGTGAGGTCATGTTCAAATGTAAACTCCCAGCCTCCACCCTGTCTGCACCCAAGTTCATCCTCAAGATCTTTGTGCAAGCTCTGACACGGACAAGCTCAGGCGGATGTTGGGAGGAAAGCTTGCATCCACTTAACTCCTCATAGCTGGGTAAGCATGGCCCTTTCTCAGCTTGGCCTCCTCGGTTTGGTTCCTGTTTGCTCTATGTCTTATGATGACTTGCAATGGGTGGTTGCATCACTCTTCTTGTGATTGAGACTGTCCAAAGAAGTCATTGTGGGGGTCCTTCCTTGGTGGATGCCACGTTGTCTGTTAGCTGCAGGCTAGAGACAGCAATGCATGTGCAGGTAATGCAGGACAGCGAGCCAGCCATGCTGTTGTGCACTCTGGGGCTCCTCGTGTTAACCATCTAAGTCAGCAGCTCATGAACTACCTTACATAGTTTGTCAAGAAAAATGTGCTGCTCCGAGCGGCAATTCATTGATCATGCTCGGGGTGTGATGAAAAGCTCTCAGTGCCTACCACTGGAGAGGGAGCCTTGCAAGACTAATTTGCAGCATGTCCCTAATGGAAACATGAGCTAGGATAAATTCTACTGTAAAGAGTGCAACCAGGTATGCAAAAATGTCACTGTATTTAGCCTTTTCTCGGACCAGGTTTCGAAGGCGCTGGGTCTGCTCTGTACCTAGCACTCTGAGCCTGTCTGCAGCAGTTCCTCAGAGCTGGTTGGAGTGTCCTGCAGTTTCTGCCACTTGTTTGGTGCTGCTATGCCTCCAAACAGATTGCCGGCTCGAAAACCGCTTAGCTCTGCCAAACTCTCCCAGTCCAGCTGCCCACATCCAATTAATGTGCCACTCTGGTAGAGTTTTAAGTGATTATTGACTGATTGCTTTTACTCTGATCAATTCCCAGACTGATACATGAGAGAAAACAATATTGATAAGTGCTTAAGATCAGCACTGTGCTTCTCACCATGAGATGTTACTGGCTAAATGCTAAGTTATTATTACCACTGTCTCTTGAGCTAAATCTTGCTTCACAGTTTAGTGCTTCAGATAATTAGGTGGGAAGAGGAGAGGAATCTATAATGGAAAAGGAAAACTGTGGGTCTTAAATGAACACCTAGGTGAAATGGGCAAAGTGGCCCTAGGGACTTGGTCATTGACCCTGAGTTAAGCTTCATTGCTCAGGGTGACAATGATTCATATCCTGTGTGGACAGATGCACAAGCAGCTTAAAAACATCTTCTGTTTGTTGTAGCTCCCCGCAGTCACACAGAGGTCGGGTCTCTGCCGAGATTCCTGATACGATGGCAGTCTTGTGGATGAGGGGTTGACTTGGCAGTCAGCAGAGCTGAAGATGTTGACAGCTTCCATGGGAGCAAGGAGCGGTAACTCACCACGTGGGAGCTATAAACACCTCCCCAAGAACATGCTTTGAACACTCATGTCTGTGGAAAACGCTTGGGTGGAAAGAATGAGGTATGAGGCCTGGTGTGATATTTGTAAACATGCTGAGTCCCTTGCCTCGGCCAACTTTATTAATGTCAGATCATTAATTGTAAGGCATTTTTATTCTGATGTCATGTACTGGTATCCAGCACTATTATTATTCTAGATCTGAACTGCTTCAAGAGCCAAGAAAAGGCTGGAGTCTCATGGCAGTCATGGAAGAGAAGTTCTGAAGTGGGTTAATCCTTTGCTCTTTCCACAGTCCATATTGTGAAGCTGTTCCATGGTTTAAATGAGTCTCCTTGGACTTGACTCTTAGGGCATTGCTGTTTTTCCCCCTGCAATGAACTGTGAATCACAAAGATCTGTGGGGGACAAGTCATCTGGAATGGGGTGGGCAAATATGGTCCTGGTAAGACTGTGGATATTTGTGAAATAAAGGAGCATCCTTTATTTCTATTGGCAAGCTTTGCTGAGGCCTGAGCTCCAAGTTTGGTCTAGTGTTACCTTGTATAGGTGATAGTGGGCATGATAGAGACTCTTCATTAAGTCCTACGTATATGTCTGATGTTACTGTGTTACCCTTCTCTTGGATTTTGACTGGAACTGACCCTGCACCAGTTCCCACCCTGGAGGACGTGGCTTACCAGCAGAAATGCAGATAGTCTCCTGCTGTCTCTACAAGGCAGACTTCACTGAGTGCACCTCTGCTCTCGTGTACAGAGCAATGCTGAGCAGAACTGACAAGCAGGTAGCTGGTATTACCTCTGTGCCAAAGTCGTGGGTGTTTTGTGTATTGCTTTTCTCTCTTTATAATTACAGAATATTATGAAATGCAGTAAGATTTCTCGCTTGATGTCTGTATTTCACACAAGTGTGTTTAGACAGGCGGTTGCTGGAGGAGACACGAGTCTCCATACAACTTATGGTTTAACAGCATATCTGAAACAATGACACTTATTTCTCAATGAAGCCTCTGTAAAGCGAGCTGTGGAGCTCTGATGTAACACTTAGCCAGGCACAGCATGAGTTACGCTTCAAACCAGCAGAATCAGCATATTTTCTTTTGTTTCTCTTGCAAATTCTCATGTCAACAGTCCCAGCAGTAGTTCTTTGGAGGGCATTTACTGCTGCACACTGCAATACGCAGCTATTTATTCTTTTCTGGCTTCGTGAGAGGAAGCAGAACAGCAGACAAAGGGCTGCGGAGTTAACGCATCCAAGAGGGCAATAAAGGGAGTGAATATTAAAGCAGGAGAGCTACGTGACACATCATAACCCTCACGCTGTAGGCTTTTTCCAACGAAGCAATAGTCCTATTGCCTGTGTGGTTTCAAGCACTGGTAATAACCTGATGCTGGTAGCACAGGAATAAAACAAACGATCAAGCAAAACCAGTGGTCTCTCTGACTACACTATGAAATTAAGAGGAGATTCAAGACTGGTCTTATGTTGATCTTTGGGCTGTCTCATACCTCCCGTACACATCCCCAGTGAAGCCTTTAAATTTGAATTCTTATCCCATAGCCTATGAGGCATGGGACTCCCTCCATGCCGTTCATAAAACAGCTTGTACCAGTTTCCCAAGTGCTCCTAGATCTCATTGTGTGGGGTTTATTTTGTTCTTGTTCACTTTATCCACTGGACCTGTGACTTTTGTAACACTTGATCCGTTCCCCTCCTACCCCTCCGCTGACCACAGGGGCCCAGCCTCTCCTCCTAAGGCAGCTGTTTTGCTCTCCACAACCCTTTTAGATGATGTATTTTCCCTGCTAATGGACTCCTTGGACACAGGTGTACAATCAGCTAAAAGAGTTAAGCCTGGTGGCCAGAATACTACAGTTATTTCGGCCCCAAATCAATATCACTGGCAGGCTATTACCTAACCAGACACCCGGGGATATACTCGCGATCTGCAGCGATGACAAGAGCAGTGTGAATGATTTGTCAATTTAAAGGAAATAAGCAAAATGCTGCAGGATTCCAGGGCTCTGCTGAGCCCAGGGTGCACATCACCCCTCAGACCTGTGAGAAGGGCAGGTTTACCTGGAATGTGCCACCCTCTGGGTGCAATGAAATCTAGATGAAAGGCATCTGGCTCCAAATCAACTGAGAGAAAACAGACGTCCGGGGTGAGCAGCTGGGACCATGGAAAAGTAATGGAAAACAGCCATTTAGCTCACCCTGTGCTCACAGCATCTTCCTGTTCAAGAAGACTAATGGCCTTGGGGTCATGTAAGCCTCATCTGTGAAGGCAACAGCCATGGCCAAAACCAAGTGCTGCCTGCTAAGTGAATTTCCACGGGCTGTTCATGCTCCTTGAGTATTGATTTCTTCCAAATAAGCCATCTAATATATTTGTGGGTAAGTGTCTTCAGTGAGGTGCTGAGTCTGGGCTGCCTGTGCTGTGGGGTGCATAGGTATCCTGCTGCCCCCACCACATAGGTTGTCAGGTTCCGGAGGGAGATAACTTGAGTGACTGCTGTCCTTGTGAATAGCCAAGGCTCAGCTTCTCCCTTGCCCACAGCAGATGGTCCAAGCTGCAGCACAGAGCTGCAGGACTTGCGTGGGTGCCAGGGATAGGTTCCTGGTACAGGTTCTGCCCTCCCAGAAGAGGCGTCAAGCTGCAGTGCACTTCTCTAGTTGCTCCTATGGCAAACCAACATGCTCTCCTTTCTTGTCTTCAAGCCAGCAGCCACATCTGAGCAAGGAAAGATGTGTGTGTGAGAGAGCTACTTGCAGCAGCTCTGAGTAGTAGTAGCAGCCGCCTTTTTCTTTAAGAAAGGAAAATTCTCTTGCCCGTTTCATAGAATCATAGGGCAAATTGCTGAGATTCTTTCCAGTCCTCTCCCCTTCCCCTCTGAAAACTCAGCCATGGCTATGTCACCTTTAATAAATATTTATTCAGCTTATACTTAGAGATCTTCAGCTATGGCCTCCCTGGGAAGCCCTAATTCTTACCATTAGAAACCTTTCCTTCCCACTTAGCCTGAATTTACCTTGCTGTAGTTTAAATGGGAGAGAATAAAAGATCGTTCTCATCCTCCTTGTAAATCCTCCATGGCAAATAGGGGCACAGCAAGAACCCAGGAATGACAAGGCCCTGAAGTGGTTCCTGCCCATTTTGGCACTCTTTCTCATGGAGGGTAATGAAGGGTAAAGAGGCACTTTTCCCCAGTGCAACAGGCCCGGTGCTCACGTGTGAGCAGGCTTGGTGCCATCTGAACAGATGCGTGTGCATGTAAGCAAAGAAAGACCATGTCTGAGCATCAGCCGTGGAAGCTGAGTTGAAATCTAGTCAGACAGAAACAATCAGGGTATTTCTAACATAATGCTTTTACCAGAGATGAGCAGATGAGCATAACTTAAATGTAGGTACAATAACTTATCTGATAAGATAGGGTTTTTTTTTCTCTCTCCAATTTAATTATTCATTGCTGTCCTATCAGACTTCAGTTAGTTCTCAGCACACAGAAACTGGAGCAAGAGATGTGGTATGGAGAGTGGTATTAGTATTCCTAGAACAGTGTGAAATGGTCATTTCCATGCCTACTGAAGGACTTCTCCTACATGACGATGACAAAACCCCCAAATCCAAAGTCACCAGCAGACAGGGGCTTCTTCCAGACAACTAAAGCACATGTCAAAGTTATTCATTCAACTTGCTATAGGCTAACAAGCCACAGCGAGCCTATAGTCCACATGTGTGCAGCTTCATCTGAACTCTTCTATAGACATGCACTGGTGCCAGTATGTCACTGGCTGGCATTCTCCAGAAAAAGGAGATATTCTTCCATAACATTCAGGCCCCTCTGTCCTTTCTTTCTCGCAGTGCAACTGTCAAGACTAATGCCAAAAGCTCTGTAGAGCTAACAAGAATCAGAGAGGCAGCAGGTGGTTCTAGCTGAGTTCATCACGTCTTTTCCCAAAATAATCTGCTGGCCAGCTGTGAGGAAGCAAAACTCAGCTGGCAGAGAATCAGCGTAAGCAGAGGAGGTCAGATGTGGAGTCAGACAGAGAGGTTGTCACGGATTATTTATGCACCTTTGTGGATGGACAACTTTCTTAAGCTAGTAATGCTGTAGTCAGTATTTTCTTGGTGCTTCAAGAGCAACAAAGCACCTCTGGCCTTGCTTCCCAGGCTGGCAGATACCTCATTGCTGGGAAGATAGTGTCCTTGATGCTAAGAGGATGTTCTATTGTATTTTGCAATATGTGTCAGCATAATCAAGAGGCAGCACTGGGGCAAGAGAGTCCTGTGTAGTCTGTCTCTGCCAAAGACTGCTACATTGCAGAGCCTTGGGCATGTGCTTCTTCACAGGACTTTGTGAGGAGCAAACTACTAAACTCTTCTCTTTGCTAAGGGAGCTGCAGGTTCGTGTCAGACCAGGACTTTAGAATGTGGAGAGAATTTTTGCATCATGTCACACAGCACTTTTGTGACATCTGAGGTGGTTGTGTTTTCTATGGGACTCTCTTCACAGTTAGATGAGCTAGGATTCAGAGGAGGGACCTTAGACTCCTGAAAATAATCCCTATTCTTAAACCACAGGAGGAGACAATGAGGCTGCAAATTTAAAAATCATTCCCCAGGGCCACAGCCAAAGCATTGAGGCCTCCCAGACTGCAGTTTGTAGGTTGGATGGAGCAGTCAGCAATTATCTATGGTGCTGAATATACCGTTCATAACACATATTGCTTCTATACATTAAGTTGATCTATTCTGATATAGGTGGAGGAGGTGTTAGGGTTCCTGGTGCATTACACAATGCAGACGCAGATAATTGAAAATAACGTTGTTTTCTACAAAGCATTGCAGGCCACCTCATCATCCTTCCCTCTCTGCTCCTCCATCCTGGGTAGATTGAAAGAGAGCACCCTGCTTGCCTCCCGCTGCTCCTCCCGCTGTCTCCCTCTCATGCCAGAGGCAGCAATGCTGAATGTTGATGGATAATCGAAGGGAAGACGCACGCGATGCCTCGCGCTACCGGGCAATGTCGCGGTGCTGGGAAGCAGGCAGTCCTCAACACTGTGAAACTCCCAGAGAAAAAACAACATCAGTGCCACTAGGAACACAGCCTGTTCCTCAAGGCAATGTTTGGACCCAGCTTCCCTTCCTTCTAGCTCCCAAATGCTTCAGGACTTGTGTTTAGATCAAGCAGTTATTGCAAGCAGCCACTTGAGAAAGCAATCTCCCAAAGCCCAGATTAATAGCCAGGAATGCAGGATGGGAACATGAGGGTCCCCTCACGACCTTGACGATGGCTTCAGCATCCAGCATTTTCTCCAGATAGACCCGTTTCTCCTCCCAGTCCTTGATAGGAGTTGCAGTCCATTGACCAAGCATCAGCACCTGAGAGGAAGATGAAGTGCCCAACAAACTTACCTACCTTCTATACTGAAAATAGCACATTTGGGTCTGGAAGGAAGTAAATTTTAATTACTACTTTCCTCTCCCCCAGAAGCAGGTAGCAAAGAGTTAAAGAATGAGCAGTTATGGACCCACTTCAGTGTTTTTCATCTAGCCCACAGCAGCAGCCTCCTATGGGGCTTGCCTGTATCTGCGTGACACCTTCATGCAGTGACATCTCTCCTCTCTGGTTCTCTCTGCTCTTTCCCCCAGCATGGAGAAATGAGAGCCCCTGGGAA